TTTTACTTCAGGTACAGCTAACACTGAACATATTTACAGAGTTCCTTTTTATTTATTCTGACTGAGTAGGGAAAAAGAGAATCAACATTTATTTAATATAATTGATTTTTCAAGATAGAGATCTATCTGTGCACTCAAATGCCTTGGATGCCAGGGGTGTATATTATCCCTTTTACTTGAGGTTTCTCAGTCTGAATAGTAGGTGTTTGATAATTATATAACCTTTTGCAAATGGAAACTCTTTCTACCCATTATCAGTTAGTAGACACCTCCTCCTGGAAACTGTCTTTTTTGTCATAATTGCTTGAGCAAACTGTGAGCTGAATGTTTGAGGGTACATTTACTTTGCGTTGAGCACCTTTTCCCTGGACATGGTGTTGTTGTAGTAACAGGTGGCGCCACTAGATGGTAGTGTCTCACCTGTTTGGTGGACATGGATGTGTCTTGATTGAATACTATGCTGTCATTACATTTATGAATTTATTGTTAAGTACAAAATGAACAAATTTTTTTTGTCAGTTATATCGTGTTATTTAATTTGTTATTGGTTTATTTAGATATGTATTAAGACATGTATTGATTCATCACCACACAGACACTATACAACCAGTTGGAAGCGCACACTCTTCCTGTCTGGTGTGGTTTCACACACAAACACACACTTGGCATTCGAATGTGTCACCTCTGAAGATTTGTTGGGTTGCATGTGTGACTTTCAGCTGGATGATTCCTTGAAATTGTGTGGGGGGTTGTGCATGAGCTGGATGATTCCATAAAATTTCAGAGCGGGTCTGGATAAAAGGGAAGATTCAGGAATATTTTTTATTTTCTTTAACGTGAAAAGATAGGGTGTTAGCCTTGCCTGAAGTATATGTACTAAAAGTGACCTTGTAGTTACCAAGGATGTTAAGTTTTTACCTTTGGCCATTGGTTTGTTCGCTGGTTGGTTGGTTTGTTAATCAGCAGGATTATGGATTGCCATAAGAATTGATAGATGAGGGGTCATGGGCTAAGACAAAGCTGTTAGATTTTGCTGGAGATCTGGATCCAATAACTGTTGGAGTATGTTGATCTGCCAATTTTCGGAAAGTATCTGCTTTAAAGCGTAGGTGCAAAGTTTAAAAAGACAGAAACTATGGGTTTTACACACTGCTTTTAATTTGTTGCATAGTGGGGACAGTTGGGCACCAAACTCTTTTCTAGAAGGGCCTATAGAGACAGTAAATTTGCACACTACTGTGTCATAGAGCATTTCATGCAACTGTGTGGTCGAGTTGCTGTGGACAACGCACACGGGAGATGGTGTTCAGGTTGGTGTGGGACCATGTGAAGAAGAAAGGGAGAAGTGTGTGGCAAGAATGGTCAGTGATATATTATTTGTTTTATTGCATCTTTTTCCAGTTTAGCATCATGCTGAGTTAAATATTCAAATACATATTCCAGGTAGAATATCTTACAGCAGATTCTCAATATATATATATACACTGAGTTTTCAAATCTGGGTTTTTTTGCCAGAAAAGACAAAATGGTCACACCATGCAGCTCTTTGTTTTTTTGACACAGTGCCTTTGTCTGAACTGGGCAATATGGAGGAGGGGAGGACTAGGACACTGGTCTGGAGCAGCTGGTGCTGCCTCCTTCACAAAGACACTGTTTAACCAATTAGAAGATTTACTCTAAATTTAGAGCCAGAGCTGCCTCCTGCTGTACATACTGACTCTGAATCAGTGCTGATGTTTGTACAAAAGAAAAGTCTGACAGCAATAGTGACAATTTGATTTAGGTATCGCCAACAATACTAGAAAACGTGAGTAGGCATATTGTACATCTAAGCATTGTAGTTGTAGGCTGATCATAATCCACCATCAGCTGCCACCACAATCCACCACCATCATGGTCACGATCCACGATATGGCTGCAGCAGTGATCCTGGACGATAAAGCACATGGACTCTGGGGAAGAAGTTGACTCAGGAACTAATGTTTAGTGTGGCACATGTTGATGACACCATTGTCTCCCAAAAACACAGAGAGAAAAAGGCATTCTTTACTCTTTTATAACAGAGCAAAGATAGATCAAACACAACTTAAAGCATCGCGACTGCTCAGTCTCTTTCTTGTCTCCCGAGTTCCTCTCCCATGCGTCTCACTTCGTGCGTGTCTCCCCTCCATGCCCACATTGAGATATTGATGTGAAAAGGAAAGAGGAGGAAAGAGAAGTTCCATGTGTCATATGTCCCCCAACAAACTTGTAGCAACATTAACTAAGAGCTGGTCCAAGGCTACAACTACCGTATGTCTGAGGCCTGTATCATGTTCAATGCAATCTGTTTTCATTACCAGTTCACACCAAAGTCTTATCCAGCTTCCAGGAACAAATACCGGCATGAGTCTCAGGATGTTAGCGTGTGTAATTGTGTGGTTGACATAATGTTGTGGTGACCTAAACCTGTTTACACTTGTCTTCCATGTGTCTAACTAATCTTTTAACTCAGTTTGTGTGTGTGTGTGTGTGTGTGTGCTCATGTAAGAGATTGGCCAACTCGTTTTCACATGCAGCTTTCCCTCTCTGCTGTTGCATACAGTGATAACTTGGAGGGAAGATTAGCTGTTTGCCCTGTGGTCATGGGCAGACGATCTGATATTAGTTGTAATTATTGAATTGTTTATTTCCCCAGGTATCTCTGCATCCTATATGACTAGAGAAACAGTCTTAAGTTGAATATTTATGAGTATATAGTAGGAAGGATGTCTATATTACATCACTATGAAGTCAGAAATGTCATGTAGTCCATAGTAACGCACTTATGTTTGCAACCAATTACATTAGAGACACGATCTACAGCTCATATAGAATAACCTAGTATTTATTATCATATGGTTTAAATTATGTTATGATGACAAAATTAGGAAATGGCATTACTCTAATATAAAAAGTTATAATTTCCTGATTGGTGTATCTATAGTATGCTTAGGTTTTTTTTTTGCCACTTTAACTATTAACTGTTACATCTCACAATAATACCATTAAAATGATTATGTAAATGAGTATGAGATAATCCATACAAATCATTTACCATTCAGGGGAAAAAACGAATTTTCTGATCACAGTGACATGATTTTTAAGTAAAAGTAATTAAACAGGAAAAGGGTCATACCTATTTTGACTGGAAATTAGGAATACGATTCAATACAGGTATGATTAAAATTAATTAAATAATAATAATTCAACAAATTTAGTAAAATACTCTGCATACACATTGACTCTATATGCATATATTTGGTTGATTTAATAATAGATTTTGAGGCAGTATATAAAGTGTAAACATTAGGTTCCCATAGTCCTGAGGGGTCCTGTGGTGTACATGTCATAGTCTTTCCAGGTGCATTTTGGCTGCACATGGCTGAATCCATCACACCATAAAAGTAGAGCAGGTGAGTTATTTGTGGATAGAATCTGACAAGTTGAAGCAGTTTACTGAACATCAGAAATAACCTACAGAGCTTGAATATATAATTTCCAAATAAATATAATAAAATCAAAACTTAGGAGCTCATGTAAAACTCATCTGAACTGTTAAAAGCTGCTCTCAGCTGAAATTCATTCAGCTATCTGAATGACTAAGGGAGGGTTTCTCCCTTCCTTGTGGCTGTGGCATGTGCTACATAGTCACGCTGTATGAATGTGTTTGTTAATGGAAAAAACTGCATAGCAAAGCACTTTGTGTAGTTATCAAGACTAGAAAAGTACCGCATTTATTACAAAGTGACCTTTATTGGTGTTATCACTGGCTCAACTATGTAAACAGTCATGTAGCTGTTTAGTTTTACTCCACTCCACCACACGTCTTCAATGTCTGAATGTCTACTGCTGACGAGTAGCCAAGGTGGAAGAAGTACTCAGACCCTTTACTTCACTGAATGTACAAGTACAACAGGTTATTGTATTGTATTTCACCTCTTTGGGCTTCAACTGTTTATTTCTATTGGAACCTTTGTTTGTCAGAAGGGTATAGAAGAAGTAAGTCAGATAGGAGGGTTTTTGTGGGGGGGATCACAAGGTGGGAACCACAACATGTTATCTTTGTTGAGTCTTAATTACTTAACAACTAGAGGCTATAACTGTCATAGAAATATAGTCAAGTAGAAGTAAAGTGATATAAATCAGGAAAAGCGTTGGGGCTTGCAGACACTTGGATGACACCACACGAGCAGGATTGTGGCATGTTATGTTATTTTTGATTTTTCATTACATCTGAAGTAGAGGTCACTTTGGCTGCAACACAGTTTACCGCTGAGACTCCTTAGTTATTATGTGGTTTTAAGCACTTCACCCACCAATCCGTTGGCATAGTGGAGAGTAGATGAGTGAAATTCCATTTTTCTGTGAACTCTCCCTTTATAATTTAGTTTCTACTAATGACGCAATTAGTTCACGGCAACAAGTCCCCATAATGTATATCATTCTATTTTAAATGAAGATATTTAGGTTTTGGTCTGGATAAGGGTGAGTTTTGATCAAAGATAAACCACAGACTAGCAGTAATAAGTCTCCAACACAACTTACACAACTGTGGTGTGCATGGTGCCTGACCGGTTTTCTCTGAATGCCTTTCTGTCGGCATCACAGGGTGACGTCAGACTCTGAAAACCGTCAGAAAACGTTTTGTCAAGGTAGCAGAAGTGAACCAACCCAGACCGGAAACAGGTTACGTTGAAATAAAAGCACGGACTTAACCACTTACACATAAATCTGGGAAATCATATTCACTCAATTCAGAATTCAAAATAATAATAAAGAAAAGAACTCTGAATTTCTCTCATAGACTATAATATCTATCACGTTGGAGATTGATTCATTAAATATTAACCCTATCCTGTTTCCCTTTATTTGTAAAATCCCGATTGGTCTTTCTGTACGATCGCTTTTGTTCTGGAAGTGTCCGGATGAAGAATCACACATTCTCGCTCTTTTTCTGCGCACCCCCAGTTACAGTCTGTGTCTTGACCATCAGCAGTTTATTCGCTCTAGTTGTCGGTGCACGGAAAGAGGATTTGGTCTAAAGACCCGGCCGAGACCGAAGGAGCTAGCGGTATCCCAGGGACTGACCCAGGTCCCCGTGTCGGTCAGCGGGCCTGCTCCGGCTCCGTGGCCTGATCTCCACCGGCGGCAGATAAGCTGCAGTTGAAGCCTTCGAGATGCTCCGAGCTCTCTACAGCTGCACAACAACACCGTCACCGATACCGGCCCGGGGACACAGCTATGCTTTTCAGACGGAGAGCCAGGTAAACGTTAGATCGCGAGCAGAGCCGCCAGAGAGCGAGCAGGCGGAGAGCGGCTCCGGGCTTAAATCTGAAGCGCTGAACAGCGACTGGGATGCGGTGATTGTGGTGAAGAAAGGGCGGCGCTGGGCTGTGATCCTGCAGAGAGGGGAGAAGGTGTGGGTGGAGGAGCTCCTCCACACGCAGTGGCCTCTTTCTTTTTCCTTTTTTCTTTAACATTTATTCAGTCCAGCTGCGTGTGTGTGTGTGTGTGTTTCACATAGGCTTCCATTGGGCACTTCAATCTAAAGACAAGTTAATTGAGAATAGCTTGTCCAGTAAGGGACAAAAAGATTCTGGTCAGGGTAAATTAGGAAATACAAGGCTATGCAACGTACCCATTACATTGTGTGTGTGTGTGTGTGTGTGTGTGTGTGTTATAAACTAAATTCTCTTTTGTGTTGTGTAGGAGGGTGTAGGGTGGAAGCCGTAGATTCCTCTGTGTGGATCACTGCTCTCACTATCATGTAACCATTGTATCTCTGCTTTACTGTGTTCTCGCCACATGTTTGGTGTTAAATGGTGACGGACAGGAGGTTCACTGTGATCACTCTTACTGATTACCCTGTGGCCACAGTTCAAAGACCTGAAGGAAAGGCAGGAATGCACCCGGAGGGAGCTTTGCGTGTCCTTCGTACTCTGTGGTTCTGCTTGGACCCTGATGACATAACCCACACCACTGTCAGCACATTGTCTTTTATAGCCACTGAGGTTTGGTCCCGCAGAAAGGAATGCCCTTCTACACAACACATTTGTTAAATGTATGGAATTCTTAGTTCACAGTCAGTCAAAAAACTGTTCTGTTTTTTTTCTCTCGTGACTTAAGTCTAATTATCAGGGTTGGAGCCCTCAGGGCCAGAAACCTAGTTTTTGCTTCAGTTTGTTATTATTATACTTTCTTGTAGTGCCATCTAGGCTCAAAATCCCATGAGCTGGAATGAGCTGGAAACAAGGTACAATAACTGGAACCGATGTGCATCAACTTTCTGAAAAACATGAGCTCAATCAGCTTCATGGTGGCGCTGTAATTAGGTCCACGACAATGTGTTCTACATAAAAGCCTCTTGGACCATAAAACTCTGTGATAATTTTTTTTTGATAATTTACATAAATTGAAAATTTATCTTGTTTTTGGTTTTTCATCCTATCAACACCAAATTTGGTAAACAGCATCATGAGACTGAGATACACATTTCTACTATAAATTAGCAAACTGATCAAAAATCATCATCAAACTTAGAAGATATCTTTGTATTGAGTCCGGTAACAGGTGGAGCAAAGCAGTTGTCCATAGGGGTTATAGCGCAGTAACCACTGAACCAAAATCCTCCAAATTTGGTATGAATGCTCTAAGATTAGGGTAATCTAAAGTGCTGAATTGATTAGTGGAGGTGGGCATATTATTCTACAAAAAAGACCATAACTGTCCATAAATGATGGATTTGCATAAATTGAAAAATGGTAATGTCACATCTCCTTTTTAACCAATCATCACCAAATTCAGTATAAAGCATTTTGACACTAAGATACACATTTCTATTATAAATGAGCTGGATTGGTCAAAAATCATGGCCGTTATTTACCATAAACTTTTGCCAATGGCGGGGTTTATCAGGTAATGGCCATAATGCTTATAAATATTTGTCCAATCATTATGAAACTAATTAGATATGTTTATACCTTATAGTACAATAGCCGCATTTAAGCGTTTTAAGTTTTGCACAGAGGTAGCGCCAAAAACGTTCCTATTGAGCGGCTTCCTCCAATTAAGCCGCTTGCCCTATTGAGCTGCTTCCTCTAGTTCAGCTGCTTCCTGTAGTTGGCTGTGGCTGAGGGAGTATAGTGGTAGTCCTCCAATCAGAAGGTTGGCGGTTGAATCCCAGCCCATGACGATTGTCCTTGGGAAAGATGTTGTACCCCAAATGGCCCCTCGCTTTGGATTAAAGTGCGAGCTAAATGACATGTAATCAAATGGGCTTCTTCCTCAAATATTAATATTTTTTGGGTGGGGTTCACATTTTTTTTCATGTGGCCCTCATCCTCTTCCACTAACAATCAGTTGAAAACAACCCATCACAGGTTTTCAGAGCCTCTGGAGGTTGTTTTCTGTCCAACCAAATGTACAAAACCCAAACATCTTCAGTTTAAAGCGATGCAGAGCAGAGAAAAGCAGCGAATCCTCACTTTTCAGAAGCAATTTTCCAGTCAATTGCCGTCAAACTAATGAATGTGAAAACGTAACCATATATTTCTGTATTCTAAGACTGCAACTTATGATCAATAGTTAATAATTTCTTTAATTAAGTGTATTGTATGAATTATGAATCTATGTGAATTCTCATCATAAGTGAACAGGGAAAACAAGAGATTCTTGCGATGATTATTTTGTCTGATCAACATGAAAACAGAACTGAAATCAGATGACTGAGATGATCTCAGCAGTCGGGCAAAACACCTATACTGTGGTTTGAATGTGTGGTTGAATGAGGTTGGTCATTGTAAATGCACCCTTGTGTTTAAAACTTAAAATAGCAGACTGTTCACAATGACTGTTATTGTGTATATTTACATTGTGGTATGCAAATATAGAAATTTGTGGATGAGAAATCTGTTTCTCATCCACAAATTTATTTCTGGACCACTGAGAACACTCTCAATTCAATTCCATTTTACAAGTCCACCCTTGATTCATTACAATTCTATTTAAGACTCCAGATTGGATACTTGATGATTCAGTAGCTTTGGATAAATACCAATGTTGAGTAAAGTGCTCCTCAGAATTCATATTTTTAATCCTACATGTTCGAAATACTTGAGTGGTAATTATAATAAATAACGACAACAGTTGGGTGTCATTTATTATAATTACCACAAGTATTTTGAACATACAGCAAAATACAAAATAGAGCTTTTCCTCTGAGATTGATCATTGATATTTATAAAAACATAATTCTTTCTCATACAACTTACTGTCAACAGCAGTTAGATCACTATCTACCATCAATCAGACTTCACCCTTATTTCAAGGTTTCCATAGGTCCTAAAAAGTTCTCTAATCATCTGAATTTCACATTTCTTAAATAGAATAATCAAAAGGTTGGATTGTGAATAGTATACTGTTATGAAGTTATCATTAACTTCGCTCTCACTTTTACATTTTCAGGAAAACTTTGCAATGAACACAGTTTGGCAATGCTAGAAAACAAAACATAGAACTAGTGGTTAAGTGGTTCGATCCCAGTCTCCCCTATTTCCCATGCTGAAGTGTCCTTGGGCAAGATACTGTATCCGAAATGTCCCCTTCTCATAGAGAAAGTAGTGCAAATACTGTAGATGCACTTTCAGTATCAAAACTAGAAAGGACTTTATAAATAGAGACCATTTACAGACCATTTAACTGATAACAACTGAAGCAAACTGTTCAGCTTGGCCAGAACTTATTGGAGCGCACTCGGTTGGTGTGTCACAGACATTGCGTCTCCTTTCATAAAGAAGATATCCATCTATTCTAGAGGTATAAGTTACATTAGTTTGTATAATCTTTCATATGGGTGAAGAAGAGTTCAACCAGATCTGGCTGGAGAACTTTGAGTGCTCAACTGAAGCTTGATGGAAAGAATGAATTTGAAACTGGCTGCACCTCGTGCAAGAAATCACTAATATTACTAATGAGTCAAATGGGAAGAAAACCATACTGCAGTCTTAAAATGTCACCAGAATGCCAACACACACACACACACA